TCAGGAGGCTGCGAGCAGCCGCGTCTAACAGCCTGGTTGATCAGTCCAGCAACCAGGAGGCCTGGTCGACGACCGGGCCGCGGGGACACTAAGCCCCGGAAGCACCTCAAGGTAGCCTCAAGGTAGGATTGGCGTTCTCATCTCTTTTTGAGTCAGAATACTTTAATAGTGAAGGTCGTTAATGTTGACATCTGTAAGCGTCTATAACCTGTGAAATTTACGTAATCAAATTCAAGCTTAACATTGCTAATGTTATTAAATGCGAATAAGAAATAGATTTCAAATATAGTAGAAATCTTCAGAAAATAATTTAATATCTATATGCTTGAACGTCGGCATATAAGAGATTGATGGTTATATATATAGGTGATGTTAGTAAAGTATATTTGCTTTAGTAAATGTTAGTAAAGCATATTCGCACTTTAGGTCTACGGGATAAGCCGTGTAAGTAATAAAATAATCAAAGGATAAATAATACTTTGAACTGTTCCTCATTGTTCAAGCACTTGACAAGGATTAAACATTGAAAATTTTGGGTAGATTCCCATCCCTCAACAAAAATCTAATGATACATAATGGAAATTTTATATTAAGACGTGATTCAACTTAGTACTAATCACACAACACTCAATGCTAATCACACAACGCACAACTTATTGCTGAACACTCGTCACTCATCAAAAAGGTTACTTTTAGAAGACTAAACATAAGAATGAAGACTGAGGACTCAACAAAAGGTCAATCACGAAGGGCTTAAGCAAAGGTTAATGATAGAGATCGCTTTCAAGGATCACAGTTCAAGGACACCAGAATAAAGGAATAAAGATGTAATATCAACACACATGAGAACACAACTATTGGTAAAAGGTCAACACGTTCCCCTATACTCCTCACCTTTTTTGTATTATGTACCTGACCTCACTAAAGGTATAAATTCCAATACGCCCACCACTGTCCATTCACTTGAGAATGAACCATGTAGGTTCGAAACGTTGTGTAAATTTATATTAAATGTGATACATTCTACAGTTAATTATTTTCCTTCACCTTGAACAAAGATGACATTATCCTGATGGCAGAAAGATGGCAGAAATCATCTTCCAGTTAAATTAAGTTGCAGGAACATTAGTCAGAGGGATAGAAGCCCTAGAAATATGTGTGTGTATTTAGTTATATAATTATTTACATATTTTTACCTCGCACTGGCGTTAACATTGCAACTATTAACTATAAGCAACAATGCACGTTGCAGATTCCTGAGATAGGTGGGTGTGTTGCCAGTTGGGCAACATGTTGACCTGTCTCGCCACAACACGCAACTCTGAAGCAATACAATGTTCTGTGTGTTTCTCGGTGATTTTTGCTGTATCTGCAAGAATGCTATTCACACCCCAAGCAGCACAATGCACCTCAAACTCTGAACAAATGAAAGTAGTGACACAGAGAATGACTCGTTGATGTGTGCTGCAGCTGATGGCCTCAGTGAGCAGTGTTCACGTGAGGGGGCTGAGAATGGTGCTCTGGGGCGCTGAGAGAAGCAATCAGCTCTGTGCTGATGAAGAGAGAGAGCCATTGTAGGTCAGCAAGAATTTCTTCAGGACGGTGTTAATGCTGTCGAAATATTATGAAGGATATGCTGGAACCTATAATTACGTCTCGCCCTATCAAGGGTAGGTGATTATAGGTGAGGTAATCATTCTTCCGTGCTGGGTAGTAATCATTGATGAACGGTGTGTATGAATGTATAATCCGCATTTGTGAGACACCCGCTCGACGCTTCCGTCAAGTTAAAGGGAGTTATAGGGAGTTATAGGAAGTATAAACATTAAAACATTTATTGCTATGTCGCTGCGATTCAACTGTAGGACTGTGGACCCTGTTTCATGGCTGTGGGATCCTATTGTAGAACTGTGGGATCCTACTTTTTAGGATTGTGTGATCCCATTACTGTACTGTGGGATCCTACTCCCAGGACGGTGACTCATTCTACAGGACCGTAAGATCCTGCTACAGGACCCAGACTCACACCACCTGACAGCCTGCAGGTGGTATCCCCCTAGAAGTGAAGAGCCACATCACACATGCATAATTGACCTCTGTAGGCCTGTCCAGCTCTCATATCTTGACAGGTGTGCCTCAGTATCTGGACTGAGTTGTGTCTTCTCAAAGAGAAATGGAATACCTGCTTCTCAGGACCCCCTGTTGTAGGTAATTTGGAATCACTACGGAATTAGTGATTCCAATGAATCATTAAACCCCATATATTTGGGTCATGATTGGGCCACTCCTACTCGGAACATGGAGGGTTTCCGGGCCGGGTTCGATTCCCGGACCAGGCAGAAACATCTGGGCAAAGTTTCTTTCACCCTGAATGCCCCTGTGACCTAGCAGTAAATAGGTACCTGGGACTTACATAGCTGTTACGGAGCTGCATCCTGGGGTGTGAGTGTAGAAAAAAATAGTAGTTACAGTTAACCGTTTAGAGGCGGGACCAAAGAGCCAAAGCTCAACCCCCGCAAGCACAAATAGGTGAGTACACACACGTTCACCGCCTCGTGACCGAGCGGACAGCGCTCGCGGCCCTTAATTAGTTCTCAGGGTCGAGGCAGAAACATATGAGCAGAGTTTCTTTCACCCTGATGCACCCGTTCACCTAGCAGTAAATAGATACCTGGGAGTTAGATTGCTGCTACGGGCTGCGACCACCAAGAGGGCCGGGGTCACAGTGAACATGAAGGTTATCTTGAGGTTATCTTGAGATGATTTCGGGGCTTTAGTGTCCCCGCGGCCCGGTCCTCGACCAGGCCTCCACCCCTAGGAAGCAGCCCGTAACAGCTGACTAACACCCAGGTACCTATTTTACTGCTAGGTAACAGGGGCATAGGGTGCAAGAAACTCTGCCCATTGTTTCTCGCCGGCGCCTGGGATCGAACCCAGGACGACAGGATCACAAGTCCAGTCTACTGTCCGCTCGGCCGACCGGCTCCCTAGGTTAATTAAATCATGCACCAGAGTCAACAACAACACAATTTGAAAATATTTAACCCGGAATTATTTAACCCCACACGAATGCCTTTCATGTTCAGCCCTTCATTTTCTTTCATTTTCTTCAGTGCCTATACTAGCCTGCACCTTCCTCTCTCTCTGTACCGCCTCATCAACTTTCATCTATAGCACGAGAGCTATTGAGCTCAATGTCAGTATTTTGCAATTGCTCTTCACTCTCAGCTAAGATCACAGCATCACCTGGATATCAATCATGATCGATAACAGCCATTTACCTCTACCAAAAAGCCACAAATCCACGTGTTCTTGACGCAATTCCCTAAAGATGTTCGTTAAAGGGTTTAGGGAGACTTAACCCTGGAAACACAAACCGAAACTATCTCTATTTTCCGCTTTTTACAACTTGTAATAAAGTTGTTACATCTTGGCTTAAAGTGTTTATGACGTATTAGAACGTTGTTACAACTTGGTATATTGGTTGTTATAACTGGTTAGGAAGTGTCAAAACTTGTTCGAACGTTGTACCAACGTCGTAGTTTCGGTGTGTATTTGGCGGGAACAATGCCCTGATTGACGCTCATTGCAAAATTAAAATGAAAATCTTAATAAAATTAAAAAATCAAATAAATTTTAAGAGTTGATAATTAACTGGCTTAGCGCTTTCTAATGATAAATACATTAATTTATCATTGGTCTTTCAAACTTTCCACAAGCTTTCAGTGTCATTCCAGTCGGACGTGTTTTTTTTTTTTTTAATCCAAAGAGGCAGCGTAGAATTTTCTCTCCTTTTTGATAGAAAGTTTTCAGCAACTATTCTCTCGGGAAAAATTTTATTTGTCTAACCCTTTCCATTTCTGAGCCCACACTATTCCTTCCCTGTCCTTCGTTCTATTATTTTACTTTTGGTTTTCATATATATATATATATATATATATATATATATATATATATATATATATATATATATATATATATATATATATATATATATATATATATATATATATATATATATATATATATATATATATATATATATATATATATATATATATATATATATATATATATATATATATATATATATATATATATATTATATATACGCACGTAGGTACGTTGAGTACGTACACGTACCGTTTGAGTACGTGACTTTGGACACCACGTAGGAGACGCTAATTACAGAAATTTCTGATAATTACTCAATTCGAGCGTGTGTTTTTTTTCCTTTTTTTGTTTTATTTTTCATTGTTGGAAAGTTTGAGAGTTATTCCTCCGGGCGGTGAGCGTGAAATACCGCTGGCGTAACTTTTTTTTTTTTAATTTTACAATCCAACACCATCTGGCGTTGCATGATTGGATCGGGGGGGGGGGAGGGGATTGGATTGTCTCACACACACGGGGTGGCCGATGCTATCTGATCCTCCTCGAGCATAAAGAAACACATTCCCACTGCTGATTACTGGATAACATTACTTTTAATGGCGTCTCATCACACGATTCACACCCAAATATCTTTGGGAATCTAGCAGGTAAGAAATGCAAGAGATGGCTCCAAGACGGGAATTTATTGGGCTGTATCAGCACAAACTCTCTGACGCAGGGGAGGTCGTCCCTGTGACCAGCTGCGAGAGGTCGTCTCTCTAACCAGCTGCGGGGGTCGTCGCCCTGTGACCAGCCACAGGGGTCGTTTCCTGTAACGAGCCACGGGGAGGTCGTCCCTCTAACCAGCCACGGGGAGGTCGTCCTGTAACCAGCCATTGTAGGTCGTCCTGTAACCAGCCATTGTAGGTCGTCCTGTAACCAGCCATTGTAGGTCGTCCTGTAACCAGCCATTGTAGGTCGTCCTGTAACCAGCCATTGTAGGTCGTCCTGTAACCAGCCATTGTAGGTCGTCCTGTAACCAGCCATTGTAGGTCGTCCTGTAACCAGCCATTGTAGGTCGTCTCTTAACCACCCGCGACGGGGCTCCATAACTTGTGATATCAAACGCTTCATTCATAAATTTCTGGATATTTGACCTTCGTGTGAGACTTGGCCTTTAGTTCGTGGTGGTTCTTGTATCTGATAACGCAGAAGACAAGAGCATATACGCTCGCGCGTGAGCGCAGATACAGAAACCGGTTGACAGGGCCCCGAAATATGGGCGTATAGATACCATGGCGCACCTGACCAATTATATTTGTTTAGTGTTTGAGTTATACTGATTAATAATGCACAAGAATGTTGTTTCTGAAGAAAATGGGAAAAGGAGTTATGATTAGAGTTGAAAGGACTGTTTGTGGCTGGTCAGAGGCGGTTGGTAACTGTCCAGGAGTGGTAGTAACTGTCCGGAAGTGGCTGTAATTGTCCAAACGTGGTGGCAACTGTCCACAAAGTGCGGTGACTGTTCAGAGGTGGTAATAACTATCCAGAAACTTTAAGTACCAGACCAAAAGTGATCTTAATTGTTCAGGAAATATGTTAATGGATGCTTGCAGCAATATATATAATATATTGGTGTATGCAAATAAGCCTATATATATATATATATATATATATATATATATATATATATATATATATATATATATATATATATATATATATATATATATATATATATGTCGTACCTAATAGCCAGAACGCACTTCTCAGCCTACTATTTAAGGCCCGATTTGCCTAATAAGCCAAATTTTCATGAATTAATGTTTTTTAGACTACCTAACCTACCTAACCTAACCTAACCTACCTTTTTCGGCAACCTAACCCAACCTAACCTATGAAGATAGGTTAGGTTAGGTTAGGTAGGGTTGGTTAGTTCGGTCATATATCTACGTTAATTTTAACTACAATAAAAAAAATTGACCTCATACATAATGAAATGGGTAGCTTTATCATTTCATAAGAAAAAAAATTAGAAAAAATATATTAATTCAGGAAAACTTGGCTTATTAGGCAAATCGGGCCTTGAATAGTAGGCCAAAAAGTGAGTTCTGGCTACTAGGTACGACATATATATATATATATATATATATATATATATATATATATATATATATATATATATGTATATGTGTGTGTAAATCACGAAAATTAACACGTGATGAAAAATGTGACAGAGTCAGACCACGTAGGAAGAATTGAAACAGGAATTTCCTTAAAGTACTTGCGTATATTAATACATCTTCAGAAGGAATCCTTCTGAAGATGTATTAATATACGAAAGTACTTAAGGAAATTCCTGTTTCAATTCTTCCTCCGTGGTCTGACACTGTCATATATAAATATATATGACAGTTATAATTATATATATATAATTTATATGCACGTCGTCACATTATGGATAAGAATCGGTTAATTGGTATAATCTCGTGCCCACAATAGCTTCGTTGATCCAGAGAAACGCTTCTTGGTGGCTGGAGAGACATTAAATATGGGTTATATCGGTGGTATCTGTCCGCCAGAGTGAAAGCCTCCCCAATTATATATATTTAGCGCTTTGAATCAGCGACGTGTGGACTGCAAATACAGATTTAATGCAGTTTCATATATTAATTTTTTTTGAGAAAGTGTACCCTCTGGAGGGTGTTTTATATTCATTATCTCTCCATTGACGTGAAATTTTTTTTTGTGTGTTTATGGTTTTATGGAGGGTGTATGTAGTTGTTGGGGTGTATATGTGAGTTTATTGAACTATGTGTATGGTTGCATTGACTCAGTGTTTGTTACTTGACGATGGTATGTGTGGTTTATGTTTGTAGGTATATATATATATATATATATATATATATATATATATATATATATATATATATATATATATATATATATATATATATATATATATTATTAAATATGACCGAAAAAGTAAGATTAATAATTCTAACACGAATTTTCTCAATCTTTCGTACATTACGCTTCACTGTTGGAGGTAAATCAAAAATCACTTCTCCAAAATTCATTTTTATTTCTAGTCTGACGCGACACGGGCGCGTTTCGTAAAACTTATTACATTTTCAAAGACTTCACAAATACACAACTGATTAGAACTTGCGTTTCCCTGATTTTATATCTACATTTGAGTGAGGTGGGAAGGGTGATGTGGCATTAACACAAGACAGAACACTAGGGGATATTAATAGGGTATTAAAAGTATCAACACAAGACAGAACAGAAACAATGGGTATTGAATAGAAGTGTTTGTAGAAAGCCTATTGGTCCATATTTCTTGATGCTTCTATATTGGAGCGGAGTCTTGAGGTGGGTAGAATATAGTTGTGCAATAATTGGCTGTTGATTGCTGGTGTTGACTTCTTGATGTGTAGTGCACTACACATCAAGAAGTCAACACCAGCAATCAACAGCCAATTATTGCACAACTATATTCTACCCACCTCAAGACTCCGCTCCAATATAGAAGCATCAAGAAATATGGACCAATAGGCTTTCTACAAACACTTCTATTCAATACCCATTGTTTCTGTTCTGTCTTGTGTTGATACTTTTAATACCCTATTAATATCCCCTAGTGTTCTGTCTTGTGTTAATGCCAAATCTCCCTTCCCACCTCACTCTAATGTAATGCAACATCACCCTTCCCACCTCACTCAAATGTAATGCCACATCACCCTTCCCACCTCACTCAATGTAGATATAAAATCAGGGAAACGCAAGTTCTAATCAGTTGTGTATTTGTGAAGTCTTTGAAAATGTAATAAGTTTTACGAAACGCGCCCGTGTCGCGTCAGACTAGAAATAAAAATGAATTTTGGAGAAGTGATTTTTGATTTACCTCCAACAGTGAAGCGTAATGTACGAAAGATTGAGAAAATTCGTGTTAGAATTATTAATCTTACTTTTTCGGTCATATTTAATAATATATGTCTACAGGAAAGACTGCTACCAAAATATACTAATATATATATATATATATATATATATATATATATATATATATATATATATATATATATATATATATATATATATATATATATATTGTTCTGATAACTCACATATGTCGTCTCTAGCCTCCCTCACTACACCCCTACACCATACCACACTCTACACCATCCACATATTGTACCCACCCATTTGCTACACCACGGCCCCCCATATCCCCCCCCCCCTCATTCCACACCACACACCCTCCACACCTCACTCCACACCACATCTGACACCACACAACTCACCACATCCCACCAACAGCAGGTAACAGATATAAGCAGGAAAACAGGAAACTAATTCTGAATGTTTTAGCGTCACTTTTTGTCATGTTCCAGTAACCTTGATAACGAGAAAATTTAAGCTTGCGCTATTAAAATTTTCCCAAGCTTAAGTAATCCTGAAAGTTTTCTTGAAGTTTTTTTTTAGTTAATGCGGCCATTAGAGCGGCAATCAGTAGACCTAATTGAACTAATATAACTGGTAAATCTATTATACTTAATAGAGCTAATACAAATAATAGAGCTTATACAGCTGATGGAACTAATAGTTCTCACAGTTCCTTACTGAACTAATAGAATCAAACTAATAGAACTAATATATCTAATAGAGCTGATAGGACTAAATCTCTTCCCTCAGTTCAATAAATTATAGTATGACCAAAAAGCCTTATTTTGTGTATTTTTCCGGAGTTTAATACCATTTATTACCATTATAATTATTTCGGACTTAAATGCCATTTAATATCACTATAATTAGAAGAAAAAGTATAATTTAGGGAATTTAATTTAGAGTAATTCTGAAAAATATTATAATTTTAAAAAACAAATTATATATTTTAATTCTGAAGTTAGGTTAGGTTAGGTTAGGTTAAGGGTTTTGTCCCTGTGGGGTTTTGTTCTAGGGTTTTTGTCCTGTCCATAGAACAGCACCACATAGGACAAAACCCTCATAGAACAGCACCATATAGGACAAAACCCCATAAGGTGGTTCTGTCCAAATCTCTTGACCAATTAGAAGTAAGAGAGAGTAAACAAACTTACCAATAATAGTAAGTTATTAATAGTGTCGTGCAGGACATCTGGTTGTAACGTTCAGGTCGTTAAAGTGTTCTCTGTTCATCATGATGGTGAACAGAACGTAAAGATGATCAACAGACACCTTAGCTTGGGGTTATAATTGTGTGTGAGTGACCTGACTTACAGGGAACTTCTTCAGTTGCTGAGTGACCTGACCTACAGGGAACTTCTTCAGTTGCTGGGTGACCTGACCTACAGGGAACTTCTTCAGTTGCTGGGTGACCTGACCTACAGGGAACTTCTTCAGTTGCTGGGTGACCTGACCTACAGGGAACTTCTTTAGTTGCTGGGTGACCTGACCTACAGGGAACTTCTTCAGTTGCTGGGTGACCTGACCTACAGGGAACTTCTTCAGTTGCTGGGTGACCTGACCTACAGGGAACTTCTTTAGTTGCTGGGTGACCTGACCTACAGGGAACTTCTTCAGTTGCTGAGTGACCTGACCTACAGGGAACTTCTTCAGTTGCTGGGTGACCTGACCTACAGGGAACTTCTTTAGTTGCTGGGTGACCTGACCTACAGGGAACTTCTTCAGTTGCTGGGTGACCTGACCTACAGGGAACTTCTTCAGTTGCTGGGTGACCTGACCTACAGGGAACTTCTTCAGTTGCTGGGTGACCTGACCTACAGGGAACTTCTTCAGTTGCTGGGTGACCTGACCTACAGGGAACTTCTTCAGTTGCTGGGTGACCTGACCTACAGGGAACTTCTTCAGTTGCTGGGTGACCTGACCTACAGGGAACATCTCCGGTTGGATGGTGAGACTTCCTGACTTACCTGACCCTACAGATGACCTCTTCGGTTGGTAAGTGGGTCTTCTTGACCCACTTGACCCTCAAGAAGTGGGTGGGGTCCGACCCCACAAGTGCCCAGCCACCGGGTTGCATAACCCCCCCCCCCTACACTTATGCACAATACAACAAAGCATTGCAAAACAAATTGAGAAAGTTAAGACCATCTTGAGACAAGGACTGAACTCGGTACGTAAGAAGAAGAGGCAAACGAAATCTTTACTTTATGAATGGTAGAAAGGAACACCAAACAAAGGAATTAGAAGTAAATTTAGTTATCTTTTGAATCGTAGTTTGTGTAATTGGAAAAATGTTTTAGGTTATCTTAGGTTATCTTAAGGCCTTCCTCGTATTGGTTCTGATCACAGAGGCGACGTGCCATGCACAGATACGTAAGACCTAGCATGTCTTAATTGGTTCTCAGATGACTGTCCTTATGTCTTGTAGCTTGTATGTGTAATAGGTCCTCTTAAGACGTAGCACCGCTAGCACAGACCGGGTAATACGTTCTTTACGACGTATCACCTCCACCAATCATGGTAACAGCGTGCGTCTAATACTGCTGCCAGTCTTAGACGCAACAATTTTAACTAAGCCTGTACATAAGAGCTTACACATCACAGATAGAATACACATTGTGGTCTATGTGTAACCAGCCATATAGTTATAACTACCTTGCATAGCATCGTGTTATGCTATGCAAGGTAGAGCCCTTCATTGTGTTAGTCAGAGAAGTGGAGCAACAGGAACCTCTCAGACAAGTGTCTATGAAGCAGAACAGAACCGCTCGGGCAAATTCCCGTAAACTGGAGCGAGTGACCACAAGATTAAATTACTTTCATAATCTTCTCCCATGAAGTACAAAATCATAGTAATTGACTGGTGGCTTATGCACATAAAAGTTGTGGCCTTAAGATTCTGAGCGGCAGCTGTAGTAGGGTAGGGGTCTGGCAGGGGTCTGGCAGGGTCTGAGAGGAGGTCGTCGCCTTCTCGGTCCGCCTGACACACTTGCACCCATGGTATCTTGATTATCGCTGTTGTCTGATGCTATTACTCTCATTCTGTACTATTATTAGTCTCGCTGTTGATGGCGCTGGGATGCAATTGGTCTGGTGTGCTCAACTGGTTGTGCCTACCAAGGTGTACTTAGTAGACTTGATCTCCTAAGACAAGCCCGGCCCCGCAGTCCTTCATCTACTGGTGGGTAGATTCCCCGAGCCTATTGGGTTGATACTTGTAGGAGCTGCCTAGTATGGACCAATAGGCCATTTATAATTTCTTGTATACTTATGTTTCTCTTATTCTGGAAAATGGAAGCGGCTGGCGAAAGTGACGTACTGTCTCCGTTTTCTGTTTTGGGTCCTCTGGTAGGTTAGGAGAGACCATTTTAAATTGACGGTTTTCTGGACGTTGGGAAACATTAGGAAAACGGGCTGGTTCTTCATACTCCTTTTCTGATACCTTCAAGTTGTAATTTAACTGGGATAAATTTGATATCAGTGGGGTCACTACAGTTCTGTGGATCACACAGAGACTCGGTGCACCACACGAAGACTCACTACACCACACAAATACATTAAGCGGCAGTTGATGGACCAGCTGGCTTTGAATGCATCAATTGAGAAACATGAAAATAAGGTAAGATTAACAGGAAAAAACGCTAAGCCATTACGACCGTACAGCACTTGTAAGGAATATGAGGACAAGGATTTGGGATTGGATAGGATAGAGGGAGGGAATGGTGCCCAATCACTTGGATGGTCGGGGATTAAATGTATAATTTAGTGTTGATACTTGGCCTGGGTTGTCTGATGTATATGCAAATCTATTATTGTAGCAAAGGCTAGTCTACTGACGCAAAGGTCTACTACAAAGGTACCAGTCTGCTATTGTAGCTGTATTTGTAGATTACTTTGGTGTTGTTTGTCGGTATATCTCTGGTGATGATGACAGACAGATATAGCGAATATAGACAACTGTATTAGCGAGGCATTGTACATCAAACAAGCCAAGTCAACTAACAACAGCCAACTAACAACAGTCAACAAACAACAGTCAACTAACAACAGTCAACTAACAACAGCCAACTAACAACAGTCAACTAACAACAGTCAACTAACAACAGTCAACTAACAACAGTCAACTAACAACAACCAACTAACAACAGCCAACTAACAACAGTCAACTAACAACAGTCAACTAACAACAACCAACTAACAACAGCCAACTAACAACAGTCAACTAACAACAGCCAACTAACAACAGCCAACTAACAACAGTCAACTAACAACAGCCAACTAACAACAGTCAACTAACAACAGTCAACTAACAACAGCCAACTAACAACAGCCAACTAACAACAGTCAACTAACAACAGCCAACTAACAACAGTCAACTAACAACAGTCAACTAACAACAGCCAACTAACAACAGCCAACTAACAAGAGTCAACTAACAACAGTCAACTAACAACAGCCAATTAACAACAGTCAACTAACAACAGCCAACTAACAACAGTCAACTAACAACAGTCAACTAACAACAGCCAACTAACAACAGCCAACTAACAACAGTCAACTAACAACAGTCAACTAACAACAGCCAACTAACAACACTCAACTAACAACAGTCAACTAACAACAGTCAACTAACAACAGCCAACTAACAACACTCAACTAACAACACTCAACTAACAACAGTCAACTAACAACACTCAACTAACAACACTCAACTAACAACAACCAACTAACAACAGTCAACTAACAACAGCCAACTAACAACAGCCAACTAACAACAACCAACTAACAACAAATTACACTCTGCCATCACCGAGAACACGTCACAACACACAACCTACTGCCCCAGACATCATGGAAAGTTGAAAGATTGATAAGGTGCAATGGGGCCAATTAGCCCATAAGTGAAGTGCCTCACCTTCAACTCATCCCTGGCTATAAATATCCGACTACACTGAAACCTGTATTACGGGCTATTCATGCCCGTGCCACCTCTTGGGTGGCTTAATATTCATCAATCGAAACCTGTATTACGGGCTATTCATGCCCGTGCCACCTCTTGGGTGGTTTAATCTTCATTAATCAGTCAAACCTGTAAGCATTCGAACACTGGGTTACCTGGTTTAATCTTCATTAATCAGTCAAACCTGTAAGCATTCGAACACTGAGTTATCTTTCCTTGTTCTTGATTTCGGGGCTTAGCGTCCCCGCTAAGCCCCGGTCCTCGACCAGGCCTCTGCATTTCATCATGTTAACAAGGGTTATTAACACGCATCTCTTAGCATCAGACCATAATACAATTGTGAAATCTTGCCTCTACATTCTCGTAGACACCATTTTCTGTCTTACACAAAATGACAGAAAAGAATATTAACACATATATATATATATATATATATATATATATATATATATATATATATATATATATATATATATATATGACACAAACACAAACTATGTATCCCCTCATAGAGCTTAGTGTAGGTACGTTAATACAGAGGTAGATTTCCCGCCGCGGTGCATAAATCTACGGGATTCACACATACGGTTTCAGTGACTTGATATTGGCGACCCGCTCTTCCCCTTTCATCAGACTCGTTGGAATCCCTGTTGCCTCCGTCCTGGATACATTTATACTTGCATGAACATTTAAAAGTATGCGTACATGCTTATGGAATTGCGTACATTTAATGGTGATTGCAAGATAACAGCATAAGGTCAAAAAAAGGTATTTTCTTGTGGGGTGTAGTGACGATATCACTACACCACATGAGCCTCGTGAGGGTGTAGCGAGGCCAACACTACACCACACATAGTTGTGGTCACTTTGTAGATCTTGTGGCTAGCGTCAGCACATACGTACACTCAAAAACCAAAAGAAACATACAGACATATATACAAACCCACATATGCAAACACACATACAAACACACATACACATAAAACACACACTCACACATACATATAAATATACATACACTCATATACAAACACTAATACACATATACAAACACACATGATCACCCAAATACACATATACAAACACACATGAACACCCAAATACACATATACAAACACACATCAACACCCAAATATACAAACACTCCCATACAAACACACATACACTCACATATAGAAACACACATAAACATCGAAGCAGAATTATCCTTTTTTTTTTGGTATTAGACACAAATGCCGATAATATTAACTCTTCAAGATATTAACTCTTCAAGGCCTCTGAGTGATGGACTATGTACCACATTATTAGCACTCTTTACCTTGAAATATTTACAATAGGAGACAAAAACGTGACGATGGCTGCCCTGCGCGTGAGAGAAGGTGGGGAGGGAGTACCCTACTTGGCCTCACGATTTAGGCCACACATTTGACATGAACTACACCAGATGTGGTTTACCACAGACCTGAGGTACACTAGACATGGTGTACCAGTTGGTTTACATTATACATGGAGTACCGAGGACATGGAGTATACCAGATATTGGATCCGTTGCATAGCTTGCCTAAATTACCTAAATTTAGTTACCTAAATTCATCTATCAGGTTCGTTATGTCAGCAGGTCATTGCCTGAGGTAGTTCAACACGAATAAGTCAAATTAGGTGATAACTGTTAATTAATAGAACATTAAAACCGTTACCACGAGTGTTTAAGGCTTTGGAACCTCTGCTGTTGAGATGGTCCTTTGTGCTGTAAGATTTCTTACTGTCCTGCTTGATCCTGGTGCGTAAGTCTTCATGGAGTCAGACTTCTCGTCCAAGATATATAACCATTCGCATGCTGGTTTAGTTATCATCTTCACATGTATTTTCTCAACTGCAAATGTGAAAGACTATCACGTCTCCCAGATGGGTATTGTTGCACGGGAGCTGTTAATGAAACTTCATTGTATTTGTCATTTCATCTTTTGTATGGTGA